ACAAGGCAACAATGTTAGTAAAGCGTAAGCGCTTTCATTACTTCTTCAGACGTTTTACCACCAAAACAATTCAAACATGTGACGTAATAACGCTACCTGATGATAACATCAACAACAATGCAATGACGTCACAATGCTTATAGAGGAAACAATTATAGAGTCTAAGTAAAGTTACATAGTTCATTAATAGCGTAATAAATAATAAAATCATGAAACAGTCTATATTAAACTATTTAAGGACGGTTTAAAAATCTTGATGAAATGTTTTTCTTTTTCCCGTCTTTCTAAAAGATTTTCTGTTTTAAAAGATTTGTGATTTCTGTTTTTAAAGATCTAAAAGATTTTCTGTTTTGAGTTTATAAAAGGGATAAACTGAGAATTGTCCCTGTCCACAAACAGCAAGATGTTCACTGAGTTTTATTTTTCTGTATTCGGGATGGTTGATATGCTGTCTATGTATGCGTATACGAGTGCGTAGTGTGGTCCCCGATTCTCTTATGTATAATTGTCCACATCCAGTGCATGTTATACAAATAACGTTTTTAGATGCACAGGTCATATCTGCATTGATAGTAAATTCTTTATTTCCGAGTGTAAAAGTACTTCCCTCTTTAATATACTGGCAGGTTCCACAACGTGAATCAGAGCATTTATTGACCATATATAGATTCTGACGGTGAAAAGCAGATTTACACAATATTCTTCAGAGGTTTTTAGGTTGTCTTTTACTGTTTATGAATTTATATTTTTCCAGTTCTTTGGACATTTTCTCATCCGTCTGTAGAATGTTGTTGAGGTGACGCACTGTAGGGGTTATATTCATGTTCTTTGGATTGTATGTTGTTGACGTTATCATCAGGAAGCGTTATCGCAGGTGAGTTAAGGCTAGGTATAGGCATTTCTATGCAAATAAACTAATTAAAATGTCTAAGGACTATTTCTATTATACAAAGAAAGTTAAAACTTGTTGTATAATGCATACTCGGTACCCATGACATGAGATAGCCAGTACAGATTATGACGTCATATTATGACGTCATTGTTCTTTACTACACAAGATTATAATGGACATGAACAAAAATGCTTCGGTGCAAGGGCATGCTCTATTTCATTTTACTGAAACAAGGTATATTTAGAAGCAAAACTTTCCAAGGAGTGCTGGTATTACTGCACAAATATCTACAGCTCAGTCGTATAATTTTTATTTGTAAAGTTTTAAGTTGAATAAAGGTAAAAACGTACAGTCCGGTATAAGTTTCCTCAAATTCCGATCAAATGAGAAAATGCCTAGGATTTGTGCGGCAGTTTTATTAATCAATAGAATATTCTTCTTAGCATTATACAATTTTTATGTAAAAATAAATAGGGTAATCCCTTGCGCCGAAGCTGTTTTGTTGATGTGTTTTACTACCTCCGGTAAGTGAGATCAGTGACGTCATAATATGACGTCATAATGTGTACTGGCTATAACATATCATAGGTAGTAAGTATGCATAAGAAAATAAATCAAAACTCTCTCTGAATAATTAATATACCACTTATGCGTTTTAATTGGCTCATTTGCATAGAAACGCCTATACCTAGCCTTAACTCACATGCGATTACGTCACATGTTTGAATTGTTTTGGAATGTAAAACGTCTGAAGAATTAATGAAAGCGCTTAAGTTTTACTAACATTGTTGCTTTGTTATTTTTTATTTTCATATTAATTACCGGACACTGTGATATTTCTTTTCATTTTTGGATATATATATATATATATATATATATATATATATATATATATATATATATATATATATATATATATATATATATATATATATATATATATATATATAAATGAAACACGAAAACGTTTAGTAAAGCTTTAGCGCTTTCATTTTCAATCTTCAGAAGCTTTACAATAGGTAACATAGCAACATAACGTCATAATAAGCGGAACACAAATTCTATAGTGACGTCATAGTTAAACAATGCGGGAAATTTGTAGAATGAAAACAATATGTACAATTGTGATTACGATTACGATAAATTGTTAAGTTTAGGTTTGAAAACATGTATAAAATGTTTTTCTTTTTCGCGTCTCTGAATGTCACTTTCATTTGAAAGTTTGTAAAAAGGAAATATAGTAAACTGTTTATTTCCACAGCGATCCAAATGCTCACTTAGAGGGATTTGTCGATATTCCGGTGAGTTAATATGTTGTCTGTGGACACGCACACGGGCGCGGAGCGGGTTGCTTGTTTCCCCGATGTAATACTGGTGGCATCCAAGACATGTAATTACATATATTACATTTTTAGTGTCACAAGGCATATTTGCGTTGACTGTAAATTGTCTTCCTTAAAGTTATAAGTTGATCCTTCTATGATATGTTGGCATGTCCCGCAACTTGCGTCCTCACACTTGGCGACTGCGCAGGTATTTTTAAAATGGGAAGAACACAGGATTCTTCTAAGATTCCTAGGTTGTCGTCTGCTGTTGATAAATTTTACATCTTTATATATTCGTTTTGTTGATAGATCATCTTTAAGAATGTTGTTCAGTTGGTGAATTATAGAGGTCAAGTTATGATTCCGTGGGTTGTGAGTATGCACAAATGGAATAATTTCCGTTTTATTTTCCTTGCTCTTTGTAGACAGTAATTCAGATCGTGTATATCCTTTGGCTTTCAATGTACCGTTATCTATGAGGGTTTCAGGATATCCCTGTTTTATAAGGTACGACTTGAGCTCTTTTAGTCGGATATCTCTAGTGTTATCATCGCTAACGATAGCACATAAACGTCTAGCAAGATTGTAAGGGATTGCTGTTTTTGTATGGTGAGGGTGACAGGAAGCAAAATGTAGGTACTGGTGGGTGTCAGTTGATTTGTAATAGATATCCGTAGAAAGTTTTGTATCTTCTTTGATGACTAGGACGTCAAGAAAAGGTAATTTGGTATCACTGCTTTCCATTGTAAATCTGATATTAGAATCCAAGCCGTTTAACAACAGCCGTTTATATATATATACATCATTCTCGTTTGAAGTCAACATATTAACCGATATTGGTCAGAGAGGCTGCAACAGCAATGGCAACCCTGTCTCTAGATCTTAAATGATATCAAGGAAAATTTCACTGACATGTCGCCTACAGATCAATCAGTGCTTTGGCACCCGTTCCATCACACTTCCACACTGCCATATTTTATAGCACAATCTAGCAATAATCGTTTGGTATCTATTAAATTTCGTGTTTACCCACAGAAGACATTTTTGCATTCCAAAATCTAGTTACAGAACTTTTCAACCAATAAAAGCAACAACTTCTGATTTATCTTATTTTTTGCATAACCGGTCATGTTTTTTTCTGATTTTAATGAAAGCAAACATAAAGAATACATTTTCAAAGAATAGAAAGGTGTCCCTTTCAAACTTTTGAGCACCATTTCTATTAAATAGTTAGGCTTCGGTTATCATTTATTTATATACCAGTACGGGCATTCAAACATCTTACATTTAATCATAGTTACATATTTTATATATCGGATTCGTCTTGAATAACTTTTGAAAAGTTAAAAATTATATTTCTGTGATGGTGCAATAGCAGATTTTTCAAGTGTACACTTATATTGATTATACAAATACAAATATTTATTGGCACAAACACAAATACAATAATTGGCAAAGGCCCATTGAACATCATTAGATAATGTTTACAAAATTTATGTAGTATTAAGTAATTGAATTCTGTGTTCAAAACAGTCTATAATAAATTTCACATTAACTTTTAAGATTTTATGTATATCACTGTTTACATATAATTGTAACATGTCTCTTTCATTGTCCAGATTAATATTTTTCTTTGTTATATTATACATATTTCTAAGGTATGTGTTTCTTAGCTTTGAATAAGATTTATAGTGAAAAAGAAAATGAATTTCATCCTCAATCACACCAGTATTACAAGCATTACAACATCTTTCCTTTCTTGATGTGGAAATATATCTACCACTTTCTATTGCAAGTTTATGTGCACTTAATCTAATTCTACTAAGAGAGGATCTCTCAGATCTTTTTCTGAGTAAATCAACATATGAACTTTTTCTTGTGTATAATTTTTTATAGAATTCAATTTTTTCTGAACCAAAGATTTTTGATGTTTGCTCTTGAGTGCACTGGTCAATGATTCTTTGTTTTATGTTGGGTAAAAGGTTTTGAATGAAACCTTTATATTTTGTAATGTTTGAAAATCCCAGATTATCTAGAGTAGAAAATAATTTCTTCGTCCAAGAATTGCAGTTACCTGTGGATTGGTCAAGTTTAAAAGCCAAAGAATCAGAAGTTTTCAAGTGATCAATATTAAATACTCGAGAATGAAATTTTAGAACAAAGTAGTTGTCTCTTAAGTTCTGCTAGACAATGCAACCAGCATTGGATGTTTTGCAGTGCACTCCAAGGATATTTTTAATAAATTTTAAGTGAAATTTTTCTATATTTTAGATATCTTTGAATGAGAGATCCACTCCCCATATTTCACTACAATAAAGAAGAACTGGAAGTACAATTGCATCAAAAAGTTTTTCTAAAAGCTTACATGGGTTATCAAAAACAATGGTTCTTTTCATTTAAAACATGCTTTTCTAGCTTTTTCAATAAGCACAGATGTTGCTAAATTAAACCTCCTATTACATCTCATCATAATACCTAAATAGCAGTATTTTGGTACAATTTGTATTGTATTACCATTAAAACTACATTCATTCCCTTGAGGTTTGCCATTCGAGTTAAATATCATAACTTTAGATTTATCTACATTGACTTGCAGTTTCCAATTTGAACAATAGTTAATGAGAATATCAAGGCCGGCTTGTAAACCACTTTTGCTTTCAGAAAAGATTACAATATCATCAGCATATAACAGACAATTTACATGAATATTGTTTACTTGCACAGGATGACATTTTCCATGCATGTTTCAAGACACTGACGATACCATCATATTCTTATTTCAGTTTACGCTTCATACATTTCAAAAATACTTGGTTCGCATTTCCTTGGTAAAACGTGAAAAAGATGATGGGCTCTCCGTTGTTGAATTTCCTATTCAGGCCACAACTTTTATAGCAGTTACTGCTTACAACAACAAAGACGTGACTGTGTTGAAGATTAACAGCAATCCGTATTCAAAAGGATTTCGTTTTCCGGTGAAAAGGTACCTTATTTATTGCAAAAATATCATTTGAATGAAGAAAGAAATTCTAATCTGAAAAAATTTTCAAATATCGATATTATTATTATTAAAACTCTTTATAAATGTACAAATATTAATGAAAAATAGGCATCAGAGAACAATATTAGGTTAGGTTTGTTCAGAATAAAATGAATTTAAATTTTAGACTAACAAAACAAGCCCTTGAACAAATTGATTCTAAAGAATTAAGAATGAAGACACGTGAGGATTGCCGGAAAGGTTCAGTGAATAATCACATCAGAAAGGAGGAACCAGCTTTTACACAGTAGGTTCTCGTATTTTGAAAATTTATGCATTTCAACAATGTATGGCCAACTCAGCAAAAAAGAAATACAAGAAGTAGTGTCAGGTGCCTAGGAGAAGCTGAAATGTTTTGAAACAAATTACGAATGACGCATGACAAAAGATGAGAAAAGTATTTTAAAAGGGGTCATCTGATTATCACAGGAAATCTAAAACCCGTGCATTACATATAATGACATCTTCCTAGTGTAATATTAAGCTTTCAAATAAATTTAAAATGCCGAAATATCAATATTTGTTAAACACAATGAAGAACTGTAAAATATCAAATATTACAAAATTTAGCTGGAACTGTAAATTTTCATATTTATTTATGTATTACATATATCCCAATGAACAATCAAACTAATTTCGTTGATAACCTCCCATTGTCAAAGATGGAGTTGTCTATGATGTCAAAAAGTCTGGTCTTTAATTTATAGTGGGAAATGGATGTGTGAAGTGTTGAAAATATTAATACTAAGTGTTGAAAATGTGTCTACCAAATCTACCAATACAATGAAGGACCTTTTATCAATAACAATAGAGAGAACCACGAAATCTCTTTTAAGGATAGCAAAAATGTAAAAAGATACATTAATGATGATTTCCTAGTACATAAGGCAGCTTAATCGTTGACTTCATGCAAAATGCCAAGACACACCGAGAATAAGAAGTTATTTCCCTTTCCTGTGTTGTTGTTTTATGATGATGTTTGACTTTTAATCTTAATAGATCTCCACTGGATTTATCCACCAATAAAGACAGTCGTAAATCAAGTGAGTCACAAAGAAAACAAATCATTAATAAGCCTACTGTTTTAACAAATATACTAACTTACTGTCATTCAATAGATTAGTAATTCAAACAAATGACAAGACTCCATTCATATTACTATTTTGATAAATTCGAGATTTTATCATATTAGATTATATTTTATTACAGATCATGTTTCTGACTCTGAAAACAGTGCTGCAAATGATAAGAAAATGCAAACGGATGTTACAATGGCAGACATGGACTTTCTCTTCTACTTACTTGCATGTAAACAGAGCTATAGATTCATCAAATCGGATTTGATAGACATGTTTTGCTACAGAAACTGATTATTGAAATCAAACCCAATATTTCTTTTTCAGATTTAAATAATACACGAACATGTGAGATAAAAAATCCTTTCTAAGTAACAATCAATATATTGAAAGGAAAAGTTATTCATTATAAATTATTCAATATATAAATGAAAAGCATAAGAGTTGGGTAAATTGTTATGCAAAATTCATTTTTTGAATATTAGACTTTTGTTTAAGATTCCAATCCAGAGAGACACACTGAGAGGATTAGACCCTGTTTCTACCACATTTCTGGACATTTCCCCAGAGGTTTGTGTGATCCAGGTAAAGACTTATTTATAGATATACCCTTATTTTTCGTTATTCTCTTAAACTTGAGAAAATGATATCCTGTGTTGTTCATTGATAATTTTTATTTACGTCTATCTCTTCCTTTTGTTGAAGAAATGTGCTCAAGTCATATCATACAAAACAATAGTCTTCATCATTGTGTGTATCTGTGTTGATTGATTCAGAGTGTACATGTACTGATACATACTTTGGTCAGGTTACTATTCTTCTAGAGGTCTCTCCGGAAGCTAAAGCATCCAATCTCCATACGATTACACTTTATTTGTAAAATGAAGTTATATGTTTATTGAGGGAATATATATATATATGTGTGTGTGTGTGTGAGGGTGTGTGTGTGTGTGTGTGTGTGTGTGTGTGTGTGTGTGTGTACAGCAGATCTGCATTCAGTCAACTTGACATGTGAGCATCTCCATAAATTGAGGATTCGTTTTGATTTAAATTGTGACCCCGACCCACCTTCCTGGGGTCTTGATCCCATTACTGGATCAAGGTTTATATATTAGTCATAAATAGAATCTTATTTCTCAAGAACAGGACAATGATTGCTCATTAAATACAATCATCTCCATGCAGTATAAAATCAATTTTGTTGAAACATGGCCTTTGGGAAAGGAGAAAGCTTTTATCACTCATTCACCTGAACAAAACGCCCAATAAGGCTTTTTGATCAAAATTTGGCTGTTATGCGTCTATTTGTGGATCTTACCATATTTTTTCTTCTTATTCTGGTGTCAAATGCACTCTCTGGTAGCCAAAGTCCCACATTTAAACTATATGTGAAAGTAGGAATATTTTCAGAGGATGAGGTCATCTATTTGTTGCTAAACTGGTGCCGACCCTCAACTGGATATCTAACTATATTAAAAATCAAAAATTAATTATAAACATAGCAAAATTATGCCTTATATATTTATCAGCGTCGTTTATCTTCATGACCAAAAGTAACGGTAAACCTATCGGAAGACAAATTATAGCAGATATATCTGCTTAAACGACATATTACTGGTTGGTGTTGGCTTCACCTGGACCAGTTATTGAAGGAATGTCGAAATTTTTGCAAATCAAACAGCATGAAAGAATACTTATGATCCATCCCGAAAAAAAATCAAATAGGCAAAACTTTATAAGAAGTTTTGGACAATGTTCAGCTATCCTATGGTGTGAGATGATGATCATTGTGTAGTTAGACGATCCACTGCAGTACACAGGGATTCAATTTGGTTAAAAATAATTATTATTAAAAATAAACGCATACTTGACCGCCTGATTGCATGCATTCTCTGATAATGATGAATTATTTTTTTCGTGGCAAAATCTTTTTATTTTTTTTTATATGAAAATGATTAACTCATTGAGACACAAGTTATCGTAATTCTTGCGCTGCAATTTAAAGAAAAGAAATTATTTTATTTTCAAAACGTTCGATCTTAAAATCGTCATTACAAATTAATTCCAACACCTGTAAAGTTCAAATACTAGAGTATTTACCGTGTATTTAATCGCTTCTTGTGTGTAGGGACTAGCAGAAAACACGACCGCACGTAAACTGTAACCCTAGATCATTAACATCTGTAAAAAAAAAAAAAAAGGTCTACCTCACCTTTAATTAATCACCCTATAAATATTTTAGCCTGAAAGCTATTCAATATTATTTTTACTTCTACATGTGTAATAATATTCCTATTTATATTTTGATATATGGTTTGCGTATTTCACTTTTTAATAGCGATTTTGAGTTTTTCTTACTAAACAAATAAGGCGCTTTATAAATATTGTATAATAATAACCATAACTAGATCAGATCTCGTTGTAAGCAACGAAATGGTCATTTGCCTGATTTTTTTTAAAAGATGAGATATGATTTTGTCTGAGATATTCGTTAATAATTAATATATAGAATATGTAGCCTTGATTTCATTCTGATGTTTTCTAGAACAGTTTTCTGAACAGCTTTTGTTCCTAATCAACATTGCCTTTCAAATTATTTCAAAAATCATGATATATAAAGTCAAATATTGAGCATTCTGGCACCAGAAGACCATTAATTGCGTAACATGTGATCAATATATTACCATATTTAGATGTACATCGTTAAGATGAGCATTTTAGCTTCAGTAATGTATAACAAAGTATTGCTCGTTAAAGTATTTTGGCCACTCTGGCCCTTAATGTGAGGCGTTAGCCCCTTTTCCTAGATATCAAAAGAAATCTTATGATTTTGAACACTTTTTATTGAACAACTGTTCAGAAAATATTTTTTGTTAAGGAGCTAAAGGTTTCAGACTTTAGCCCCCTTTGAACCCCTAATTTAAAGGGCGAACTCCTTTTTCTAGATACTAAAAGAGATGAGATAAGAAATATCTCCAAAATTCAATCAAGTCAAAAATTTTGACTCCTGACGAGCTTCCATATTAGGTATTTTCAGAAAATTTGAAGACACATTTACAGTACGGCAAATATCTTCTATCATTCCTGAAAATGTCAATTCTCTAGCTTAAGCCGTTATTGAGATCTATATCGGACAAAATGTTTTGATCGGAAGTGAAATTCCAAGAATAAAGAAAAAGGTACAACGTATGGATGAAGATATATCATCCTTAAAAATTTTAAAGTCAATCGATTCAACCATCTCCGAAAAATCGCCTGCACAAAATTTTTAAAGGAAAAAATAAGAAGAAAGGTGAAAAAGAAACAAAAGAATAATAGGATCTTCCGTTGTACGATTCTTAGGGTATTCAGATCAATACGCACCTCCCATCAGGATAAGCACAATAAATTGGGAATGGGATCACGATATTTCTTTTGCTGTGTTAATATTATGTAAACACATATGTCTGAGATAAATCTCCATATAACTGAATGTTGTACAATTCTACTTTTGTTCTTATTAATAAGTTGTAATAAATTTAACATCATCGAAATATCTTTGAACTATTAACATTTCATATGAAAAATATAACAGTGTGAATTAACTTTTACCTAAAAAAATGAATATAGTAAAACGATTTAGAAAAGGGGGAAGTTTCTAGTATGCCGGTCCCCAGGATCACTAGACCACGTATGAGCAGTAATATCCCTTGTCTGTTGCTATGCAGAATGTAAACAAACCGCCTTGCTTCAGCAAACATATTCGATCGAGTGATTAGGGTAGAGCATGTAGTTTAATTAAAGATCGGAATTATTTTGTACATTCCTTTTTACGTCTCTTTGACAATTTTCACGGTGTGAAAATGACAGCTATAGTAATACCGATTGTTATTCAAAAGATAAATTACAGTTTTCTATTGTGGAAAATGTAATTAAAGGCAATTCTTCTTCACAGCAACACAAACTGAAAAAGAAAAGGAAGTATTGTGCACAGTGAATGACCGTGAACGTGGAAAGCAGGAGGAGAGATGGAAGGAATACAATGCCAGAATAGAGAGTACGTAAAGACAGTAAATAGATGTAGGTGTTGTTGAAAGTCAAAGAAAATAGATAAGCAATTTTGATTTCCCTTTTGTTTAACTATGAAATGTCCTGTTGTCCTCATCATGGTCTAATCATTGACAAGAACGGATGGATATATAAGACTAGTTGGTGATATGAAGTTTTAGATAAAACCAATCGTAAGATATATATCCACATTTGTAAATGTTATATGTATAGATATTGTTCCGTCAGATGACGACAAAGTCATTGTTAAGTCATAAACGGCCGACATAATTTCACATCGACATCATGAGTGGAAGATACGTTCAATGGTTATAAATAGTAATAAATGAGTATTTGTTGTAAAACAGTCACAAATTTAATTTTGAGAAATAAAGTATCAGTTGAAAACTTCTATCGGGGGAAAATGATATAAATGTACGTGATCAAGCCTACCAAATAGTGCTTCGGGTTTCATGAGATTTGATCACGCGACCAACCCGTATTTATTGAAAGAATGAAGGTAATAGCTACCCTTGTAAAACACTGTCTAACTTAGGATGGGGCAGTTTACACTTTATAACCCGCGAAGCAGTGATTCCTTATAATTTAATTTTCTTTTATTAAGTAAAAAGAATTAAAACTAGTAGACTAATTGTTCTCGAACAATTAGAGGTCTTTCCACCTTCTTTAGATTTCATATATTTTTCATTCTTTACTCTCTAAAGTTAATTTTTATACAAAAAGAATCCATAAATGGCTTGAAAGGTAGAAAAAATGAAAATTTTAAAAATTTTGAAATGACCTTGACCTTTGACCTTGAACAAATATTAAAGGTCAAGGGTCACATTGAAATTAGCCCCATGCTTCTAAGACTTTTAGTTTTGAAGTTATAAGGTTTACTAGTAAGCACAAAGACGTTAAAGGGCGATAACTCATATAAGGGGTCATCGGATACTTTCGCACTGAATAGATTGAAGTTGTGTCTAAAGACCCTTAAGACATTAGTGAAGGTTTTGTGCCTCTGCGATTTACGGTTTCAGAGGAGTAGCGATAACAAGGTTTTCAGTAAAAGGGGCAATAACTTTTAAAGGGGTAAATTTTAGGGGACAAGTATGAAATATTTGAAATAGTTTTAAGAGGACATAATAATGATGCAAAGATAATTAGTATATGTTAGAAGACAAAAGAGATATAAAAAGAGCTTAATTTCTCATATTTTGAATGACCTTGACCTTTGACCTTTGCATATATTTTAAGGTCAAAGGTCAATGAATCTTATGCAGTTAGTCCCATGTCTCTACGACTTATGGTTTTGAAAATTTTTAATTATTTGTAAACATCATAAACTTTCAAGGGCAATAACTCATAAAAGGGGTCGACGAATACTTTCGCAATGAAAAGATTGAAGAGTCCCCTCAATTAGTTGAAGACATTGGTGAAGGTTTCATACCTCTACAGATTACAGTTTCGAAGGAGTAGCGATAACAAGGTTTTTTGTACCAGGGGCAAGAACTCTGAAAGGGGTCATAGGTCATAGTCGTTGGGTAATTTTTCGAAATAACTTTTGATGTCCAGCATCAAGAACTATAAAGTTTTTCAATAAGTCTTTCGGTTCAAAAGGCCGTAGCGGAAAAATAATAATAATAACTAGTAGACTAATTGTTCTCGAACAATTAGAGGTCTTTCCACCTTCTTTAAATTTCATATATTCTTCACATTTAACTCTCTACTGTTTAATTTTTTACAAAAGAAACCAGAAATGGCTTGAGAGATGGAAAAAATGAAAATTTTAAAAATTTTGAAATGACCTTGACCTTTGACCTTGAACAAATATTCAAGGTCAAAGGTCAAGGGTCACATTGCAATTAACCCCATGCTTCTACGACTTTTAGTTTTAAAGTTATAAGGTTTAATAGTAAGCGCAAAGACATTAAAGGGCGATAACTCATATAAGGGGTCATTGGATACTTTCGCACTGAATAGATTGAAGTTGTGTCTAAAGACCCTGAAGACATTAGTGAAGGTTTTGTGCCTCTATGGTTTACGGTTTCGGAGGAGTAGCGATAACAAGGTTTTCAGTAAAAGGGGCAATAACTTTTGAAGGGGTAAATCTTAGGGGACAAGTATGAAATATTTGAAATAGTTTTAAGAGGACATATTAATGATGCAAAGATATTAAGTATATGTTGAAAGACAAAAGAGATATAAAAAGAGCTTAATTTCTCATATTTTGAATGACCTTGACCTTTGACCTTTGCATATATTTTAAGGTCAAGGGTCAATGAATCTTATGCAGTTGGTCCCATGTCTCTACGGCTTATCGTTTTGAAAATTTTTAATTATTCATAAACATCAAAAACTTTCAGGGGCAATAACTCATAAAAGGGGTGCACGAATACTTTCGCAATGAAAAGATTGAAGAGTCCCCTCAATTAGTTGAAGACATTGGTGAAGGTTTCGTACCTCTACGGCTTATGGTTTCGAAGGAGTAGCGATAACAAGGTTTTATTGCCAAAGGGGTTGTAACTCCTGAAGGGGTCAAAGTTCATACACGCAGGGTCAACTATAAAAATCTTTTAAAGAGTACATTCTTATAGACTATAAATCTTTTCGATATATCTTGAAACATAGAATCACATCAGGGGGTGGAAAAATAATAATAATAATAATAATAATAATAATAATAATAAACAGAAGAATATCAATAGGTCTTTCCACAGAAAGGTGGAAAGACCTAATAATAATAAACAGAAGCATTTCAAGAGGTCTTTCCACAGAAAGGTGGAAAGACCTAACAACATCAGTTCAAAAATGACCAAGTTGTACTAAATTTTAGTTTAACATCAAGCGAATTGATACGTATTGACGTAGATCAACACAGATTTTACGCTATAAACTAAATTGTCAATCAAATGACCTGTTACAAACAGAATTAATTTAAAAACGAATAGATATTTAAATATAACACCTTATTCCTTAATTATTTAAATTGTTAGTCTTCAGTAATAGAATTGAAAAGTATATATCCTTCACGTATTTGATATAAGATGTATAAGTTTAAATCAGTGATCAAGTCAACTGTAATGACATCTTTAAATTCATTTAAGGCACATGAGCAGTAAATGAATCAAATTTAATAGGCAGTAAATATCATCAAAGAATGACGTACATAAATACCGTCACTGGAATGCACGAATTCCTATTAAGCATTCTTGGAGAACATATAAATCCTTAAAAATAAAATATAGAAGTTTCGAACAAATTTCTTTTACAAAACATACCTCATGTATCGACCGTTTGTAAAATTGATCTGAAATTCTGTCCCTTTGAAAGTTCTATATGGTTTATTTGAAAAAGTCAAGAAAAGTCCATATTTGGATTCTTCGACACCAGAATACAGGCTTGGATCTGTAATTAAGTATATTTTTGTATATTGCAAATCATAGGCTTTCTAAACGGCCACGTTTTACGGAAGATAATATTGTTCAAAAAACCCGTTTGTTCCTTAAACTTCAATTTGCAAACAAAGGAATCGACGCAGTTAATATCAGTAATATTCAAAATCAAAAAAGGGTCCAGTCTTGTATTCCACCATATTTCAAGTTGAAGTTCACACCTTGTATTTCTTATAAATATACATCGACTATTGCTTTCAAAACTTTTTAATTACAAAAAAATCTCTGCAAGGCCTAGATATCGAACATCTGATACATAATCCTCCTACGTGTTCATGTTCTTCTTCACCCTACAACTATAGTCCTGCTGGGCACGTCATTACTGGTGATGTAAACATAGTTTATAATGAGGACCGTAAATCCCTTATTTTGAAAGGGCCAAAAATTTAGGGAACCCCGTTCTTTCAACTTGCGTCGTAATTTTATAAATATTATAAACTCTGTGGAAGATTACGCCAGGCGATGGGCCAACCACGAAAAGAAGACCTTGACACTTTGTCAGAATGGATTAAGAGCATCAGATGGATGTTGAAATCTCGTATTAAGCGATTGAGAGGCTGTATGGAAACTATTTATCATTCTGTCTTTAATAATTCAGAAGTGAAAAAGGAATTAGATAGACTACACGATCAGTATGTACTGGTCCCAGCTGACAAAGCTGGTAACAACATAGTATGTGTTTGTAAGGCTCATTATTTGAATTGTATTTTAAAGCAACTAGGATTTGATTTTACGGGTGGAAATCCAACTTACACCCATACCTCCCTTTCTAAGGAGGAGATTTTTCAAAATCATATGTCCGTTTTAGATATTTTTAATATTCCCAACAATCAAAATGGATTTGAATTACCATACCTTTACTGTATTCCTAAACTTCATAAAAATCCTTACAGACAAAGATACATAGCGGGTTCCAGTAAATGTTCTACCAAGCCTCTTTCTGTCTCCTCACTAAAATATTTACGGTAATGAAGGAGAAACTTCAGGAGTACTGTACAACAGTATATTCGAGATGTGGTGTAAATCAGATGTGGATATCTAAAAACCCCAAAGAACTTTTGGAAAATTTGAAATCACAAAATTTTACTAAAATTAGTAGCATCAAAACGTACTACTTTTCAACACATTATACGACCATTCCCGACGATAAATTGAAATCCAGGCTTTTTGACTTCATAGACAGCTGCTTTTTTAAAAAAAAATGGAACTCATAAAAATTTACTTACTTTTTCATTGGTCATTTACAAAATTATTTTGTTACAAAAGAACTCTGATTGTACACAAAAGTACTCTGAAGTTGATAATTAAAAGATGCTTGAGTTTCTGATGGACAATATCTATGTAGTTTTTGGAGATCAGGTCTTCCAACAATCTGTTGGAATCCCCATGGGTACCAATTGCGCCCCCTTTTTAGCAGACCTTTTTTGTATTCATATGAGGCAGAATTTATTCAAAAACTTCTACATGAGAAGAAGAAAACACTTGCTGTGGCCTTCAACTCGACATTTCGATATATCGACGACGTATTATCAATTAACAATAGTTACTTTCATTCATATGTCGACTCGATATATCCCAGTGAGCTTGAAATTAAAGATACCATAGATTCTGACACATCTGTTTCATATTTAGATATTTTACTAGGAAAAGACGTTAATGGTAACCTAACAACAAAGCTTTATGATAAACGTAATGTCTTCAACTTTTCAATCATCAACTTCCCTTACTTATGTAGCAATATACCTTTATCAACTGCATATATGGTTTATATCTCTCAGTTGATTCGATACGCGAGAGCATGCTCTACGTATGAACAATTTCTAAAAGGAGGCAAGCTATTGACAATCAAGTCGATGAAACAAAGATATCAACAGTTTCATTGTAGCCATCTTTTCGCAAGTTTTACTGTCGATACAACGACCTTGTCAGCATATAAAATCTATCATTGCTCAGCTACGTTAAGGAAGGCATGAGTTCACATTAGTAATGCACCGTATGAGAAGTTTTATTGTGACGTCTTTAAAAATTTAACAAGCGACAAAAATCTATTTAACCACATACTGATGCGTAAGTAACAACTTGCATTCATTTATCTTATCAATTATTTATAAAATCACAACATCTGATAGCAATACTGCCGAGTTATTAGAAGCAAATCTTGTGTCATATATGACGTCACTAGCCTTGACTTGACGCAGTACAAGTGATCCAGAGGAGTGGATCCATTGGTTTAATAATTACAAAAATGCTTGAATAAATATAAAACATTCGCCAATGTTTAAATCTAATTAATAAAATTAAAAGGAAATAATTTATTTAAAACAATAATGTAGAGTATTAATTTATGTAGGTGCTATGGAGCTGCACATAGACAGAGAATGTAAAGAATATCGCTAACACGATACGTGTATGCCTGATTAATCTCAAAAGTGCAAGGGCATAGACTAGACTGTTTGAGCTGAAATATGGAATATCAATTGCTTATATTATGTATATTTTGAAAAGTGCTGGGAGCTGATTCTAGTCGGCATAACATTATTTTTATTCATGACAGAATTTAAGCGAAGTGGAAATTTTAAGCTATTATACATATTTTTGGCATAATTACGAGTCTTTCCGAAACAACTCAAAGTAGCTCCCAGCACTTTTCGGGAAGCCGATGTAAATCTTTTTTAATATGTATCAATTTTTTCTCCAAAAAGATGCGTATGCCCTTGCACTAGCCTCATTTTCTACATTCGGCTGAACAATTCTATTTTCATATCAGTCACGTGACACACAGCTGATACATGCGATGTAGCTGGTACTGAGTAAGCCACAAACCTATCCATTATGGATATCTATATTGCCTTTCCTAAATGTTTACAGTTACTTTGTTACAAAGATTCTTAAAAATAATACCTATTAAGAATGTACCAAGATCGCATTTTCCATTTCCTTCCTTAACATAGCTGAGTGAGTCAAATGCTGACTGACGTTATTCATACTAATTTGTTAGGCCATTATTTATACACCGAACTGTCTAAGGATTTTTCCGGTTTTTTCCCGTTCATGACAAGGAGCACACGGCGAGTATGACCGGTCGACAGGGGATGCTCACTCCTCCATGGCACCTGGTCCCACCTCTAAATTTTGAGGTCCGTATTTGCTTCGCTCCAAAATTGTATCGTTTCATTCGACTTTCGAGAATGAATACTGTTCGTTATCTTCATATTTATTTTTTAAGAAATGAACATTTTCTTCGTACAACATTTCTCTGCTAATTTGATTGGGTATAAATAAGTATACACACCAGCATTTAGTTTCTCTTCTTATATTTCTATATGCTGCATATATAAATCTTCTTTAGCGTCATAAGCATCTAATTTAATTAAGTAATAAAGTTTTTAGCAAAAAAAATCAAGCAAATGAAATCACAGTCTTTACACTCCTTTTATCAAAGAAAACATATTTCTCGATTTTATAAATTACCTTTACACAAGATTTTAAATACCATATTGATTTTCTTTGTTTGAAATTAATTATCCAAAAGTAGCAACGTACATTACTTTGAGATTTATCCATTTACTATAGTATTTCTAACATTTATCTTTAAATTTTCATTTAAATTTCAACTCACTTTCCTTAAGCAATTGTAAACTTTCGGAATTATCCCCAATGTAAGAAATCTTGAGAAGGTTAAAATGATTCATATTTAGTTTCATCATAATTCTAAAGTATGAAAATATCAAATTTCCAATCAACTCTAAGAAAAATAAACACCCTGGCCTCTCTAATTAAACGTTCAATCCCAAGTCAATCAATCTTCAAGATTGCTCTAAATACATGATGTAATGGTGAAAAATAAGTAAATTCATTTTCTCTTTTCTTGTATAAAATGTTCAACACGAAGACAATTTAATCATATGGTATAGTTTCCATGTCAAGAAATAATTTTAAAATCATACTCTTCAATTTGAAAAACAGCATACTAATTGATAGTTTTGTTTGAGAATAAAATTAGAAGAGGAATAAGATGATAACTTATTCGTAAATAACACCTTGTACACATACGCTTAACAAGCCCACTCACACAGCATCGACGGAACATGATATCAAGTTCATTCAAAGATAAAACCAATTTATATAAGACAATGAACCTTGAGAAGTCTGATTGATGCCATAATTTCTCTTAACACATTGTTCAAACCAAATAAAATTTCTTTTAATCATTTACAAAATAAAGGGAAAAAAGGGAAATAAATGTTATACTTATTAATTAGTCTTTTTTTTCTTTAATCTTTCCTTTCCTTTATTATCTTTCTTCAAAATAGCCATCTGCCAAAAGAACTGAGCTTTGGAAAGTAATTCCCTCACAATCCTACAAATACATACAAATTCAGTAGCGTTATATGCGTAAGGTGTTGTATACAAATAAGTTATCATCTAATTTCTCCTCTAATTTTATTCTCAAACAAAATTATCATCTATTATTTCTATAGATTTTAAGTTGATAAAATAATTTCTTAACGTATCATCTCCTACTTTGACTATTTTGTGCATCGAAAGCTTCTGTCTTGGCGATGTTTAGCTTTTTTGTTTATTTTTTTGTTGTGCTATTTATAGTAAGAAGGCAATTGGCGTGTCTATAGCCAGGAATTTGCATTTAGCAAAGCCCGGGTAAAATGAAACAATGGAAAGCGATAATGACTTTTAGAACACGTAATATAGCACGGACCATAAGGTGAAGGACTCATAGTTTATTAACACCATTCAATTTGCTTTCGAAATGTCCATGTTTAACTTATTTTGTAAGAGGAATATGAATTTTCAATCTGTGACCAACATAGCCCCAACCCAGGGTATGTACCCATGAGTCAACCCATTGTATGTACCTCGGCGACATGCATTTCATAATTTTGTAAGATTTTTAGACATCAATTCAAATCATCCATACAGTTTACCAACTAGATAATCATGAGGAAAGACAAAGATTTTTATAGATGTATTTTCAACACATAACCAACTTATATTCATTAGACTCACCCTGGGTACCTACATGATGGATCCGTTGGACATGAATCAAACAAATAGGGAGATGGCTTATTGCTTATTATGATAGTTTACAATTCGCAGCTATATGTCGAGAAAAAAGATGTTCCAAGCTATAATATGTCGCCGTACACATTTTTGAAAAGTGGAAATAATGCTTTTTGAAAAGAATAATAATCACGTCTTCTGAAAGGCATACTATCGTTTTTCGCGCTATGAAACCTTTTTTCAATTTTCCTTTTAAAGTTTTAGCCAAATAGCTATCGTACCCTATACTAGTACATAATTATTCAATAATAAAATTTTAAAACTTTAAATTTTACAACTTATCAAGCATTAAGGGTAATATCTTTTTTTTCTTTCTCAACAGTGTGGAGAAGAGATACTGAAAGCCCACGCTGTGACAGTCTATCAGAGATGTCATAAGTATAAACAAATCGAACTTTTGTGTCTTGATGTCTGTCTATCTTCATATGTTCTGTCAATCTTGCAAGCTGCAAGTCACTACTATATCTGTGTGTATGTATGTTGGGGTGGGGGTTTGGGGTGGGGTGGGGGTAAGGTCTTAGTATCGGAGTCAGTCACTTTCAAGGAGAAGGTTATTAGGTCTTTATCCCACAGCCAATCTCTCTCAAGGAGAATGTGATGAGATCTTTATCCCACAGCTGATCACTTTCAAGGAGAAGGTGATGTGATCTTTATCCCACAACCGATCACTTTCAAGGAGAAGGTGATGAGATCTTTCTCCCACAGCCGATCACTCTGAAGCAGATGAAGATGAGATCTTTATCCCACAGCCGATCACATTCAAGGAGAAGGGGTGATCTTTATCCCACAGCCGATCACTCTCAAGCAGATGATGAGGTCTTTACCCCACAGCCAATTACTTTCATGGAGAAGGTGATGAGATCATATGTTTGAGTCTCCTCAAAAGATTTTCAATAATAGAACTGATTGATTTTATTATTTATTAATTTTAAAACGATTTAATTTGCAAAATTACATAATTTACTTTTTTATTTGGTAGCAAAGAATTATGTATACTTATATATATGTATGAAATTGTATAATTCATATGTGACTTGTTAGGTGGAAAACCTAAAACATACAGGAGTAATAACTTCAAAATTAATCTTTTTTATCGAACAGATTACTAGTACATTTTATGTAAAACTTTAAGACAATCAGAGAACTACTTTCTGAAAGTTAATTGATGTATGCTTCAAACAGAGTAATTTGAGATTTCCACATGCCAAATTGATATAAGTGAAAAGGGATAAAGATGACTTCTGGTCAATGTCAAAAATCCTGTAAACGATACGAAAAGTGAAAAGGGCAAAACCACGGACCTCTGGAAACACCAGAGGTGGGATCAGGTGCTTAAGGGAAGTGATCACCCCCTCGACCGCCCACATCCACCGTGAACCATCTGATTAGTGACTGGTCGTAAGGTGGTGCTTACTCCTCCTAGGAACCTGATCTAACCTCTGGTGCTTCCAGGGGTCCGTGTTTTTGCCCTGTTCATGATTGGATTTTTTACTGGATTTATGATAATAATCATTGTCATATGTACATTATAAATACCATGCAAAATTTAAAGGACTTTGTAGAAAGTTCTGTAACATGATATAAGGAGACAAGACACTAAGAGAACTATTTCTAAAATTAATGAATCATGGTGTTCGCATTAAAAAAAAATAATCTGTAAATATTATTTGCCTGTATTTTTTTTTCACGTATCTTATGCATGTATGTATTGTATTAATTTTTCTTGAATTTCATATTAAGGTTCGTCTCGTGTTTGATAAAAGTCAAATGAGAAGAAATATTCTTCTTTGAAAGTGAAGAGATAGTCGTCATTCTACAAAATGTTCTCCTTTCCGAATTTGTTTTTCATTAAGGGTCTAAATCCAGATTTTGTGCATAGTGTATGTTGCTTGTTCCTTTTTACCTTGTGTTATGTTCCATGGTCAATTAAGTCTAATTATTTTCTATTGTGTCATAAAATTCGTAAATTCGTAAATTTAGCAAATAGTACTAATATATGAAAGAATATGCTAATTTAAGTGACTCTTTACTATATATTTTAAAACAACAAGCAGGCCTATAGGAAGCAATTTTATTGGAAGGGGTCTAACAAATAATCCTTGACAAGCAAGCAAATGGCCATCAGACATTATTTTTCAAGGGTTAAATTAGTAAGTTCATTTTGTTCAGGTCTTCTGTTGCAAGAGAAGCTCTTTTAATGGTTGTGTCGGTTAAGATTACAAGGCTCTTCAGCAAATCACCCTGTTATCATGGTCTTATGTCTTCAGCGAAATCTATTATTGTAAGGTTTCTTTTTCTTATAATTACAAAAGAAAGATAGGGCCGAAATAAAAAATACCTTTGTTTCCCCTAACGCGACCGACCCAGTTAAAACGCGCCGACTGGAAAGTTTTTTTCGTAAGATTATTCCAATATTTTTTTATGTTTATCAACTTTTATAAAATAGAATTTCATCAAAATCCTTTTTTATCAGAACGACTGAATTTGTTCTGTGATTTTCAAGCGTTTGTTGGAAACAAACTGGCACCCACAACATGTCTCGGTCACGGAGGGTTAGTTCATGTTTTAAAAGAAAGACAACCTTATGCCTTTAGCATATAAGAATCCTACACTCTTGAAACACTTTGTTAATAAAATAAGATAAACAATGACCCATTAAGCATGTTTCGGTTGTATTTACCAACCTGTCTTAAAATTAAGTACGTAGAGAGCATCCTTAGGCCGTAGGCCCTCCTCATGATACCCCTCATGAGCAGACAAGGGACCCATCTTGTGAACAAAACAATCAATTTTACTGCATTTTATTTAATTTGAGTTTTGATCTTATAAACAGTTCATCAATATTCCTATGTTTACTACATGTATGGGACCATAAGAGTTGTAAATAAGTCTGCATAATTCATCCTAATGAATAGAATTCAAACGTCCTTTCTTCAGGCTTTTTATTCATGGGTATTCATGGGTTGTATGGTATTCTAGCTGTTTACAAATCGCTTTCTTTTGTCCTTAACTTATTTATAAAGGCATTATTCCATATCATTTTAAGAGTGTATTTTCAAAGCTGCTGTCAAAAAAAAAATTATTTGCCTACCTACCTACCCAACTTGAGATTTTTGGGTCGGGTTAGGGGAAACAAAGATATTTTTAATGATGGCCTAGGCCCTCCCTCTTCAGGGGAAAAGCCTTCAATTATTCTACGGTTTCTTTTTTATTATTTTTTTTCTAACACGTTTTCAAGAATTTTCATCAATAGCTCAATTTTCAGGCAAAGTATAACGTCAATTTATCTTTCTATTTTTAATTTTTTTAAATCAATCACGTTTGATTTCAAAATATAGTGAAATTTAAAAAAATAATTTTAAAATTAGTTGGCAGATCTCCTTCGAAGCTGCTGAAGATAAAGGTTTGCAATTTCAGGATTAAATTATAACAATTCCTAAATGTTATAACTGCGGAAGATAGATGTTTACAATTTCAGGATTAAAATATAATATTTCGTAAATGTACATGTCTTTTTGACAATATCAAACGACTTAAAATTATTGAAATGTAAAAATTTGATTTAAGGTTTATCTATTTTTGACAGGCATGTTAAAGTCTTTTTCTAGAACATTGAAAGAAAAATGAAGATAACGAATAGTAATCAAGCTCAAAAGTTCATTAAAACAATACAAATTTGGAGCAGAGCAAACATGGAACATCAGAGGTGAGATCAAGTAAGGTAAAATTTACCTTGCTTAGTTACAGCCATCCTTGTTCAACCGACGCAGATATTTCTCCCTCCTTAAGTTTTTTTTTATAATTCAGAACTTTTTTTATTTCTTAACCGATTTCAAAAAAAAAAAAAATAAACTGTCAAATAGATCTTAACGAGACCTTTCTAGCAGTATATAAGGTTTTATTGTAATTGCACTAATATAGAATATTTTTTAAAACTTCTTATTTGAAATACACAATGTAATGATACAAACATATGCAAATAAAATGAACATGATGTTGTCAATGTAGTATTCATTTTTATGAGAGAAAGAGAGTGGGTGAGTGAAAAAAAGAAAGAATGGTTGGAGACAGAAAAAAGAGGAGGAAGCATAGCTGATTATAAACAGGGTTCATTTATGTTGAATGTGAAGAAAAGAGGACCATTTTTTTCCAGAAGGTGTCAACCTCATTTATTTTATTGCATTGTTTAGCTTTGTATTTCAATGACTTATAAAGAATTTTGAAGTCATTTAGAAAACCATGGATAGAGAGACTAAGATTTTGACAATGAACTCTGTTCATGTAATGCTTAATAGACATAAGCAAAATATTCAGCATTAACGGTCGCAAATACCAAATTAGAAGATAGCTGTGGGTTTGTTAAAGTAATAAAAGCTGTGATATAAGTAGTAATTTTATCAATGTAATTCTTTCAAAAGCAGTTTTCTTTTTTTCATCGCTCAATTACTAGCTTTCTAATTACGTATTTTAACCAATTTTTTGGTCATAGTTCATAGTGATCTTTACTAAATCAACATCATAATAAATTCCTAAAAGTTTGACGTTTGCTGTCCATTGAAATTTCAATACAGGACAGAGTATACCAACAGAATATTTCTTACTTCCAATCCAAACATTTTGGGTCTTCGATTGATTGATTTTGAGACCTGACATTTTATAAAATTCTTCTGATTCTAGCATTGTAGCCTTTAAAGGTTTTCAGAACCATCAAGGATTATCGTTGTGTCATCTGCATTTGTGACATTAAGTACTCTGTGTCATTTATTATTTTAAATCTTTGATATTCTCATTATTTCTAATAGTAATACACAGTATTCAGCACATAAGAGAAATATATATGGAGAAATCGGGTCACCTTGTCAACAGCCCCGCCCTAACTAAAAATAAGTTGGATAAAAGTTGGAAAAAAATTCCTGCCTGAGACACACATGAATTGATATTATTTTGAAAGATTTTTATCCAGTAACAAAAACATGGTCTAAAATTAAAAAAAAAAATCTAATGTTTCCTGAATAAGAGTCCATGATACAGAATCAAAGGCTTTTTCAAAATCTAACATGACTAAATTTCCAGGAAAATCATGTTATTCTGGTACATCAAATCATATACAATACGTAAGTACTCGCCAATATATCTCCCAGATATAAAATCTGTCTGATCCGAACTTACTATGTTTGTTGAAACTTGTTTTAATCTGAGTGTTATACATACTGATCCATCTTATCATTCTTTTTTTTTTCTTCTTGATGGCGTCTCGATATGAGTGAAAAATTCTCGAGAGGGACGTTAAACAACAAACAATAAATCAATAAAATCTTCTTCTTTACCATGATGCTAACATTGATGATTTTAAGCTTGCTTATTTCTAAACGGATGTTACTTAAATTCAAAGATTACTATGAAATTATAAACTTTCGTAATAGTTAATTTTTCGTTGTTTTCGTGGTATGAAGAGATCCGCAAATTCATGTCCTCGACGAAATGTAATATTTAAAATAAATAACCACTTCTACATCCTCTAAATCAAGTCCCTGCAAACCATTTTTTTTTCTTAAATCAAGAAAATGTGACCCCAAGAAATGATTTTACACTACACAGACTTCATAAAACATAGAGAAAACAAATTCTTGTAATACATTTAAGACATTTCTTTCCGTTTACGAGTTAATCTCCTTTGATTGAATTTTTTGGGACTTTTCTCCAGAAAAATGGACCGAAAGTGTAATTGCTGGAGCAGTAAAATCAATGAATTTGTAAAATAGAAGCATTGTGGTTGTGCACATGTGTTTTGTTGAATACAGCTTACCAAATTAGATTTAGGCAGGGGTCAAGAATTAGGACGCTAAGAAGAGTGAAAATTTTGATATATTAGT